TTGGGGAAAAGTTATCAGTACATCTTGAACTCTTTTCAGCACCATGAATCTCTGCTGCTTCGTGTTTGGCCTGTTCGGGAACTTGGGTTGGTGCCTCGTGGCCCTCACGTAGTCCCCCCTAGAAAACACCCCACTGTCTCCCTTAGGGCAGACACTGTGCTCCAGATAGGACAGCGAGGTCACAGCCTCTGTATCTACCTGTGTCCAATCAGGGGAGAGAAACTGTAGTGACTTGAACTAGGGAAGTTTAATGTAAAGAATTTACAACTATAACGTGGGGTCAGCGAGACTGTGGATGGGCTAGCAAGAAAGAGCTGAGACAATGACCATAAAAGGTAGATCGAGTTTTAGAGACATTTCTAAGGACATGTCTGTTGGGTATAGAATATGCTTGCAAGTAGGTGAGAGAGAGGGGAAGTATAGAATGACACACGAAGGACAAATCTCGAGGGCTTGATGTCATTTACTACCAGTAAATTGTAGCTTCATAAGTGTGTGTGTGTACATACATACACATACATGTAGATGCTTACGTATATGTTTATGTATGTATTTTTATATATTTGATATGCATGCTAAAATACATATATGTATGTTAAGTATATATAAGAAAATATATACAATTTTAATATTACAATGCATAATATCTGTATAATTATTTATTCTCATTTAATCACATGTAACTTAAAAATTATTGGAGTATTTAACTCCACTTATTAAAGATTTCTAAGTTCCTTTGTGGTTGCTTTACAACTGTGATTGTCTCTCTTCCAATCGCTAATGGATTGTGATCAATTTTATTTTGTTCCTGGTGAGAGATATTTTGATTTTCATAGATGCCTAGTAGCTAAAATCTAGTTTCAGCAAATTGGATTTTATTAATTGGTTATTTGGTTCCCAAATATCGTAGTAGTGTGATTATATTAATATCTTCTAAAATTAGAGATTTGTGTTTCAGTCCTGACTACTCAGCCAAAAAATTGGATGACCTCACACAAACCACTTAATTTCTTCTACTATGACGTTTCTTGCCTAAAAAATAAAATAATTGGACAAGAACGATCTGGAAGGCCCTTTCTCATTGTCAAATGCAGTGATTCTTTAATTGCACTGTTTATTGCCTAAGTTAGGTAGTCTTTATATAATTCACATGAACACCCTAACCCATAGCCCTCTAGAGTCCAGAGTTTAGAAGATGACAAGGGAAGACTGACAGATAGACTTGAGCAATGCTGTAGTATTAGATTCCTCACGTTTGGTGGACAGGTAGATGGGATTTTCCAGAAAGAGCCAAACTGCTACTGAGTTTGAGAATGAGGACTAGAAAGCAGTGCGTTTAGTAATGGAGAAGGTCATGGAGGGGACAGGTGTTTGAGGGCCTTGGCATTGAGGTGTGATGTGACAGCTGCAGAAATCCCGAGGTGAGGAGAGGCTAGCATGACGATCATGGTGGTGTTTGGAGGGTAACTAGAAGGTAAGCTCCTTGGGGGCAGAGATGTTTTTGTCCCTTTTGTTCGTTACTATATTCCCAGTCCCATGCCTGGAATGTTTGGCGCCCCACTTACTAACTGACATGGGCAACTGGTTGAAATTGGTCGTAGTTTCCCCATCTGTACAATGAACAAAAGAATGAATACTTGACAGAAGCAAGCAAGCAAGAAAATGTGAGATGATTACAAGTTTCCAAAGGACTTGGGTATGATGGAAAGAGGTTAGGATGCGTTCTGAGTAATGAGGTAGCAGGATTTACCATCCTAGTAGGATGAAGAAAGAGAATGAAATATAAAATATTTTAGTATAAAAAGCATTAAAAAAGGCGTAACCCAGTACTATCGTTTTTTTCATTATATAAAATTGCTAAGTAAGAATATAAAATTTGTAAGTAAGAAATACATTTCACTTGCTTATTGTTTGCTTTCCCCATTCATATGTAAGCTCCGTGAAAACAGGGACGTCACTGTGTTCAGTTCAGCATCCCTGATGCTTAGCAGAGACTTGTGATGACATATTGCAGGCACTCAAAGTTTTTATTGAATTCAGCAAGCAAATCATTATAATATTTCCAGTTGCACAGTTACCTAATGTGCTTTAAAGCTTTCCAAGATGATCTCTAGATATATTTTGAAGGTGGATCTGAATTATAGTCCAGATAAAATGTTCTGTTAACCACCTGAGTGGAAGAAAATTCCCTAACTATTGAGAATACAAAATGTTAGAATTGATCAGATCTAAGAATCGAGAATGTTAGATCTCTGAGACGATGCTTACAGATCATCTAGCCTACACTTCTTATTCCAGAGATTGTTACCCTATTATAATTCGTCATCTTAGGGACCTGAGACCTGGTTGTATTAGCAGATGTGCCAGAGGTGATGTGGCTTCTTGGTGGCAGAGCCCTAATTTCGTCTACAATGTAGGTCATTGTTATCTTATACAACTTCTATATAACTGTGTTTCAGTTCTAGTAAATTTACTGGGTTGTCGGAAAAGTCATGACGTATTTTTTTCTATCTTTTTCGCTGCAAAAATGCATCATGACTTTTCCGGCAACCCAATGTTTTTAATCATTGTAATTTTTAAGCACAACTTCGCTCTCTCCTCTACAAAGCATATGCTATAACAGCACTTTCCCTGTGCTGTGACCACACAGTGCCCAGGTGCTGCTCGCTGGGTGTGGGAGATCTCTGCTATGCTTCTGCCCTCTTTGGAAATGCCCACAGCTAACAGAGTGAGTGTTTGCTAAAGCAAATTCCTTATAGTTCCTCCTAAACCTGACACCTTAGCTATACCACATTTAATAATTCTTTCCACTTGCTAAGGTCAGAATCTGTGGCTGGGGATGGGGAATAGTATTTTCACCTCTCCCTGTCACCCATCACCTGTATCCAGAAAGTTCCAAACCTTGGAGAGCTTCCTTCTTTCCTGGCAGGTCCTGATGAGCAGAGGTAACACTTGCCCAATGCTGGCTGTGGTAGCTAGCAGTCTGTGACTCTGCTTATCTTCGTGGAATCACCTTCCAAGAAAGCAGTCAAGTTGATCAGATCATAGTGTGCTTTATTAGCAAGTAATTCATAGCTCTCTTCAAGGATGACCACCAGGGCTTAGGGAAAGTATCTCTACAGCATTTCACAGAGTGCTTTGGACTCAGGGCGGCCCAGTAAAACAAGTTGCCCTTATTGTAATTTCGCATCTTGACAATGTATTCTCTTCTTGCTACACTGATATTTATTTTTCTCAACAATCAAAAAGGAATACTTTATTTTTTTTAAGGTTTTAAATGAGCTATTTTAAAAGTCATCTATGTAGAGATGGAGAAATTGAGTAAATTAGCTGCCTTTCAAAGCTATACAAGCGCTCTCAGCCCATCGGGTTACAGAAGGGACTGGAAGAGCTTGTACAGCTTTAAAGAAGCCCACTTTACAACAGGGAGCACCCGAAAGCTCCCAGAGAACTTGACACTTGTCCTTTCAGTCCAGATATGTGAGATAAATAAATCCATGTCTGTAATTGGTAAATTGAAGTATTTGAATGCCTCCTAGTGGTATAGTGTATGTTCTAATTAAGGGATTTAAAAAATAACATTTGTTGAAGGAATACTGTAGATAAACTATTAGCGCTCGTAAGTGTGAAGTTCTAAAACCCTTTCTTGATAACATCGTAAATGGAATCAAAATACAGTGTTTGCCATATAAAACCGATTAAAAATGTAACTGGAAACTATATAATACACACGATAAACATGAGTATTCTTTTAATCAAAATTTTTATGTTTTTGGTTCAGATTAGATTATTTTAATTGATTTTTGTTATTTAGTAGAAAATTTGCACTTAAATGTAGAGAAATATTGCTATTAAGATTGAGTTGCTTTGTATATAAATTTATTTTTAAAAATTAATTCCTATGTATGTCTTCATTTCTTTAGATAATAAAATAGAAATGATCGTTTAGAAAAAGTCTATGGTTCATTTTCAGATGGTTTTATTTTTAAATTCTGATTTTCAAGTTGATAAAATGATGTAATTAGTAACCTTGAAATTCAGGCTATAGCAAAACTTTAAAATGATGAATTCTGATTAATTATTGCTTTAAACACTGAAAAATGACTTTACACTTACAGGAATACAGCTTAAAATGTAAAGAAAGTCACACAGAAAAGCATTCTGATGAGGGTCGGTAGGAGGGAGGAAAAAGAAGGATATCCCTTTTGATAAACATTGAAAATATCTAATTAACTGCTTGCCAAAACAAAACAATTAAAATGGCAAGTACCTTTAAAATAGCAGCTCTGTAATTGCAGCTGTTGTGATATAAAGCTCGGAAAGGAAATGTTAATCTGAAATGAACAGTTTAAATATGAAATTATGATATACTTGGCTTCCTGTGGTACAGCTGTCAAGCTTGGGCAGTTCGCTGGTCAATAGTGACATTCTCTGTGTCAGCGAGCAGAGTCTCTTGATACCATAACCTGCAGTTCACACGTTACAGAAGCTCCAACTGTCGAACATTCAGTCCCCTGGTATTGGCGCGGCTTCCAGCCTCGCCTGCATGGCTCATGTTTCATTCGTGGGCAATTTGCCCTAATGATATCCCTCAGGAGCTTTCAGCCTCTCTTCCTTTCCATATTTAATCGTGCTGTATTAATCTGAGTGATGCGCGGACCGTCCTGCTCAAACTGGAGTTTTCTACGATTTCTTACCACCACGCTCACCTAATTTTTTCAGTTTCACCATTATTTATGTTCTAAGTTTTGACCCTAAACATTGTATTTTCAGATAACTGTCTACATAAGATGCCCAGAAAACTACTGTAGCGGCTTATATATTTTTTAGAGGGGTTTTCTGAAATGTAAGACTTGTTCCATGCAGACTCGGGAAAGGTAATCTGATTGAGGTCACTAAATAAATTGTTTTCTGATCGTCGTTGGTGCTCAGTAATGAGCCGTCGTTGCGTCTGGAGGGTCAGTGGCCACTCACTGTTGTTGTCCTTTCCCAAATTCCAGCTGACGGCCTGTGTGCACGGATCGGTGGCTCTGCTGTACCCCATGTACTGGCAACACGTGTACATCCCGGTGCTTCCCGCGCACCTGCTGGACTACTGCTGGTAAGCGGGGCCCCCGACCAGGTCGCGGGCGCAGGGGTGCCTGTGTGTGTGCGCGCGAGCCTGAGGCCTCTGCTGCTTGACCTCGACATTAGTGACAAGTATTGAACGGGGTTTGGATGAAGGCCTGAGTAGATCATTCCAAAGGCAGTGAAGATTTATCACTCGGCCAACAGAAAGGTCTTTGGATTTTGTGAGTTCCTCTGCAGTCATTAGACAGTGGCACGCGCAGGTAGACACGCACGCAGCTTTAGCTGTGCTTAGTGGAGCCGTGGGGGAGTCACAGTGTCAGTTAGAAACTCGGTAGCCCAACTGTCCGGGTTTCTCTGCGGTCTGTCGGAAGCCAGGCTGTCCGTCAGGACACACTTCCCTTGCCCCCCTGTCCTCAGTCGCGCACCCAGCTCCAGAGACCAGCAAAGGGGTCGCCTCCAATGCAGGGCTTTCCATCAAAGTCTCAGCCTGGAGCCACCTGTGAAGCAATGCTACAGAGTTTGGGGAGGAATTCTGAAAAGCTTCCTGGCATTAAAGACAGCTCCCAGGGATCTCACCCGATCCAAATTCGACTCCGCCTCTAGACCTGGCCCTGTGCTCCCCGCAGAAGAGTCTGCACTCAGAACCAGGGGGGCTTGGTCTGCGGACTGTGGGCTGGAATGTTCCCTTCACTCACTGCAGGCATAGCTAGATTCTCCAGAAACCTCATGAGATTTTCCCTCTGAACCACGTCAGGGCACATACACACACAGAAGGAAATAATTTCAAGCATCATGCATTTGTTTATATCACAGCTAATGTTATTAAAAAACAAAGCTCTGTTAGAATCAGAGTATTTAACTTTCTTATTTCATGAAAAACAGATCCCTTAAAGCATTTCAGGATTAGAATGGTTAACGTTCATACATAGGGGTTTTCTATTAAGTTTTTATGACTGAACCCCCTTCAGAACAATCGACTGTAATGGCAGCACATATATGGGCCACAGGTTGGGGGTACCACTGCATTGTGTGTCCCCACAGCTCGGTACCATTATCAGTACAGATGGTGCTGTGAGATAGGGCCCAGGGACCTACCACTGCCACGTGCCCTCCGAGTCCGGGTCTGCAGTTGAATTATATTTGCGACGTGTCACACCGCAAGGCTGAGAGTAAAGCCCGATCTGTAAGGAGTTCCTGCCGGTACTCACTTTAGAGGCACTGTCTCCAACCAGCCTGCCCAGGCTATGTTAGCAGTTTATTCACGTTGACAGTGCAGATGTTTGCATACTGTTCAGTGATTAAAACTCATTTATTTAAAAAAAGTTTTTACAAAGTATTTGAAAATATATTGGCACATGGCTTTACAAAACATATGTCAAGAACTGACACTTCTAATTATGAGGTCTGGAATGATATTTTATCATATGTAATGTTAATGCCATTTTAACTTTTCTATTAAAATGTTCTGACCTCTTAGATAATGTCCCTTTAAAAAGGCTCCATTGTCTGTAATGGTTACACATTTAAGACTTCCTCAAACATGCCGTTTCAAAACCGTTCTGTGACTGCACAGTCCTGTTCTAATTCTTTCCAGAGAGCTCTTCCTGAACTCTCCAAGCCTGCCGTCAGGTCATGCTTTCGCCCCTTCCCTGTGATGAAACAAGCTCGCGTCACATCTCAGGCCCTGGCATGTGCTTACTAGTTCCTGACCTCTGCAGTAGCCTTTAGGACAAGTTCTAACAGCCTCCATGCCAGACACTTCTCTAGTCTGGAGAGCACCGCAGTGATAATCAAAACTTCCTGAACCTTCAGGTTGCAATGACAGGCTCAGCTTCTATAGAAGGAATTGGGCACGAGAATGTCACTTTTTTTTTTTTTTAAATAGCTGTCTAAGACTCTAGCTCTCTTCCATTGTAAGAAAATTCTATGCGGTAAACCATTTCCCGGGGAAAATGGTTTTCTTTCCTTTGTTTGCATCCTTGCAAATGGTTCTAGAATCAAAGCATGCAAAAGGGAGAAAAATGTTAGAGTCATCCCTTCAATCTCATGGTTTTGGAATAAAGAAAATTTGAGACTCCACTTCAAACGAGTACCAGGGAGGTCTGATGGTGATGGAAGGACATTTGCCAACTCTTCCAGGTGATCGGAACTTTCCAAATTCTGAGGTCATCCTAGCTCCTGGAAGGATTGCTGCTTTTGTACCTGGTGTCTGTGGTGTGGCACAGACCGTGGAGAGCCATGACGCCATCTGGTGACCCTGGGTGGACGTCGCATCTTAGTCTACTGATAAAGCCTTGCTAATTTGCTGGCTCACTCATTCATTCATTCATTCATCTGTCCACTTGTACATCAGACATTTGGTGAACACCAAATTATTTGCCAAGCCACGAGCATGTGATGTAATGAATAAGACTTAGTTTCTGCCCTGCAGGATCCAAAGATAGGAAGAAATTCGCG